TCAGTCACCAATGAGCAGTGATCTCATCAATCATGCCTGAGTCATGAAACCCCCTAGACATTGGGGTTCAAGCAGCTTCTCCACTGGGGAATATTCTGCAGTGCTGGGAAGCCAGCCCACACACCTTGACCTTCCTAACTACTCCATGTGGCTGCTCCGAAGTCCTGTCCTCTCTCATGCCACGGCACTTGCACACAGAGCACTTTCCTGAGCCYTGGGAGTCATTCAAGTGAATGGGGGGTGGCTTGTGGAACTTCCCAACTTTGTAGTCAACTGGGCAAAAAGGTGGGTCACATGGGGCCCTCACTTGTGGCTGGTGTCTGAGTGGGAGCAGCATTATGGGTGTGAAATTTTAACTAGCAGGGTCTGATGCTAACTCCAGGCAGAGAACATCAGAATTAAATTGAATTTTTGGACACCCAGTGGTGTTGGAGAATTGGTGTGGAAAAACAGCACGTATTTGGTGTCAGGGAGGAAAAAAATAAATAAAAATCACGTACACACCTTCAACGACAGAAGTAGTGTCAGAAAATAACAATGTCTCATGCTAACTTTTGTGTAGGCCTGTGGTGAGAAGCTAGACCAGGTGCTAGCATTTGCTCATATTTGGACATGAAACAGGAAAACATCGACTAGAGAGCAAGACAAGTGACTGTCTGGGGATAGACGTGAATAGGGTGACAGGGCTGGTGTGAGGATAAAACTTCCACATGTAGGATTTTGGTAGTTTTAACTTTTGAGTCATGTGAAGTTTTTACTTGTGGAATATTTTAATTAAAAATATCTTCTGCATAAATGTATTACCAGCCTCAATTCCTCACTGTCCCCTGCATTAGATAATTTATCAGTACAGTTAGGACAAACCCCGCTCTGTGCTGGGGGCGGCCAGGGCTCTCAGTGCTCTGGATAATCTGAACATAAGGCCTGTGTCAGCACTGAGATCGTGGGTTCTACTGAGAGACTAGAAAGAGGGCAGGCGCTTTGGTGAATGAGAGTGCCTCACCTGTGACCTGGGCTCCTTGGACACTCCTCGCACACGAAAAGCTCCTAGTAATGGCCACTCATGGGTCAACCAAGGGCTAGTTTTTCTATGGGAAAACTTGCTCCCCAGATAACCTAAAATATCTCCAAACAACAGCTTGGATTTTCAATATTGAACTCATTCTCACAACGAGGGGAACAAAATTAAAAAAAAAAAAAAAACAAGCAAAGGAGAAATGAAGAAGATATGTACTTTAAGTGACATCCAACTAAAGGCACTAGGAGAGGCCAGAGACGGGCAGAGTAGAATGAATGCTGGGTGAGAAGAACAAAAGTCTTTCAGAAGTCAAAAAGAGGGGCTGGGGTTGTGGCTCAGTGGTAGAGTGCTTGCCTGGCACACATGAGGCACTGGGTTCRATCCTCAGCACCACAGAAAAATAAAATAAAGGTATTGTGTCCATCTACAACAACAAAAATATTTAAAAAGTGTTTTTTTTTTAAAAAAAGAAGTAAAAGAGAGGGTCCCCTCAGCTGTTCTAATTGGTACAAATTGAAGGGAAAAATAAAAATCCCTGACTAATCACTTTCCACTGAAACTGCAGAGCATCAAGGATAAAGAGAGAAAGAAAAAAAGAAGTCACCAAAAAGAAAAGACAAATGATCCACCAAGACAGAGCAATTGTTCTTGGAGAAGTTTTCTGATGCCAGAGGAAAACACAATAACCCTCTCAAACAATGGAGGATAACAGCTGTTAACTTTCAATTCTGTCACCAGCAAAACTATCACTGACAAATTCCAAAGTAAAAATAATTGCAGACAGACAAAGGTATAGAAAATGCACTACCCAGGGAATACTCTGTGGCAGGGACTGGCAATTGACAGCGCACTGGCCAGACTTATCCAGTGACCATTGATAAGCCAGGCTGGATGGAAAACGKCCACTTCCGTCAGGTACATTGACAATGACTGTTCTCTAGTTAAAAAGGAGGGTAGTTACAATAGGCACCTTTTGGTGCAAAGTGTCAAAAGTGTTGACTTATACAAAAATAGTGAAATGTTCACTCATAGTAACATAGTATAATAAAATACTTCAATAGCAAAATATTTACTATTTACATAAAAAAACTTTTCCGACTCAATCTGGGCATGTGTGTCCATCATTCAACCTATTTTTGATTAACAACTGTGGTGTGGGAGCCAGCCCCGACAGACACAAGGTGAGATGAACTCATGTGCAAGGAGGGCTCAGGTGCCTATGGGTCTCTCGACACCACACTCACCTGCTGTGTGAGATGGTGCCTAGAGCCTGGGTCCAGGGGCATGTCTAGGAAAAAAGAACCTTTTCAACAGACCAGTCAGCCACCCTTTGGTTCTCATCCATTGCAAACAGGGAGCCACCTCAAGCCTGTCCAGGTGGTTCAAAGGTCACAGGGTCAGCTTAGGGCTCTTGTGTCTCAGCCATGGCCATGCCCCTCACTGCTTTCCCTGCTGTCCTCCAGCCATTCCCTGGCTTCCCTCTGCCCCTTGGGGTCTGCTGAATCTCTAGGTCTTTGTGCAGGCTCCACCCTTTACCTGGGCTTCCTTCCCACATAGCTTGGCTTGGCTAGCTCTTACTCCCCTCCCTGAGAAGTCTTTCCCCAGTCCCACACTGGGCCCATACCCTCCTTTTGGCAAGATAACTCTACTATTGAGCAGGGCATGTACTAGACACTGATCTGATCTGTGTGCGTCTCTACCCCTTTCCAGGGAAGGCACATATTCAAAACCAGGATGGCCAGAGGGGACATTTCCTATGCAATTCAAATTAGAGTGTGAGGCAGAGAGAGCCCTTGTTGAGAATACCCCTTCATAAGAGTAAAAGGAAGCTTGTGAACAGGCAGTGATGGTACCTCACAGAGGGTACCAGTGCCCTGCATGTGGTGCTGAAGGCTGAGCCGATGCTCAGAGCCAAACTTGATCCTGGAGGCTCCTGCCAATCACATAGATAAGTAGGGATTTATATGGCTTCACGAGGGATAGCAGCCCAAGTAAACATGGAGGAAGAGAAGAAAAGGAAGGCAGAGAAAAAGGAGCTCCAAGTTCATGTTCACTGAGTCCCACAGGATTCTTTTCCTCTGCCATGAATTCCTAATAACTCTGCCTCTTCCGTTTATCACCTGGCTCTTGTCATTTGTGCAGTACAACGTTCTGGAGCGCCAGAAAGATGAAGGCTCACCTAGCAGAAGGGTGATTGTGTTCTTTTACTATGGCCCTGACAGCTACTAATTTTTATAATTTCCCTGCACTAAATACCTCCCAGATCTCAATGATTCTGAGCATTCTGCCAGCAAAGAGAAAGGAAATTGCATGTTCAAGAACAGAAGGGCCCAAGTGCATTGATAATGTTCTGAATAGCAGGTAACTCGATTTGCTTGAGCTTTAGGATACTTAAGAAGCCACAGATATGAATTTGGGGATTTGGAGAATTTATGTTTTTCAGGGCGGGGTGGGGAATCGACTATCCTAATGGTTTCTATAATCGAAAGTACTTTCATTACTTTGGAGTACTTTCTAAACTCCAACATGTGCTTCCACAAGAAACTTTTAGTAAGAATAGGAACTAGAACTGGCTTGGGGCAAAGTTTGAAGCTGTGGAGATTTAACATCTTGAGAAAACTGTGAGGTACCCAGACCAGGATCACACCCATGTTGTAAATAAGGAAACCAAGACTAGGAGAGTCTAAAGCCAGTTCCCAGAGGAGTTGGTGGCAAAGCCAGGTCTCTGGATTCCACAATCTACAACTTTTTTGTTAAGCTTCCCTGACTGGTCACCTGGGCTGGTGAATGGGATGCAGGCTCAGAAGAGCCCCACTTGGTTTATTGCTCTGCTGCTGCCATCTTAAAATCCTTGATCCTTTTGAGCTGGGGCCTGAAAWATCTGCAGCTGGTCCTGCTCACAACTCTATGGACTGTCCTCTACTGCTCCACCCAGATGCCAGGGAAGCCCACCACTTCTGGGGCTCAGGCTGCTCCCATCAGTTCCTGGAACTTTTAGGCTGCCCTCCTTGGCTCTTGGCCTCCACAGCATCTCAATCGGTGGGAGGATTCTAGGCCCTGTTAGTACCTCAGATGAACACCGTGGCTCCTGCTGGGTGATACTCCACATCCTGCTGAATAAATAAGTACCCAAGTTTTTCCATTCATCAAAGTCAAAACTCTCCAAAGTGAGTTTAATTAAAACAAGAGGCTCTTGAATTTTCTCAGATTAGATAGTGATCAAACTACTCAGAACAGAGGATCCTCTTTGCTCTTGGTCTGGGTCTTTGTCATTGGCCCATCCTCTCCCATTGMAGGTCTTCAAGTCTGGATCCGGAAGGGGGACAGGGAGACAGGGAGGAAAGGAAGAGAGAAAAAGAGGAAGGGAAAATGAAGAAAACGACTTCTTCCTAACAGCCCAACCCCCAGAGATGTTTTATAATCTCGAAGGCTTAAACACATTGCCCACAGAGGTCACCTCCAGCTAATTCTGAGGCTCTCCRAGCAAGAACTCTTGTGTCCCTCCCTGGCATCCTGTAGGGCCAGAGAAGAAAGCTCTCCATTACTATGAAGGCACAGTGGTACCAGGGGAAGGCGCCAACACTCTCCCCAAGGCTCCTTCTTCCTGGCTGCCTCGAATGTTTTATCTTCTTGGGATGATTCCCCAAACTCTGTTCCTTCCTTAATATCCAATCAGCCCCTCATCTTGTCCATAATTGACTTTAGATGGATTCTACTTCCCGAACTATAATTCCCTCCCAGYCTCTCCAGAGGTCCATGAAAAGTTGATGTGTAACCAGGCATATAACAACAGTAAGGAAAAACCCACAAATCAGAGCAAACTCTTAGGTTTTTTTATTATGCATTTGACAGTTAGTATTTACTGAGTGCTCGTACGATGAGTGAATTCCTCTCCCAGATACCATCTCGCACAGTGCCAGACAGCACATGCACACTTAAAAACGTAATTCAAGCTCTAAGGAATATGAGTTTGGATTCAGAACACAATTTAAAATCTATATATGTACAGTGACTTTACTTTTAACAGATCCCATAAAAGAGCTGGAGGAGAGAATAGTTGYCCAATAAATAATCGCTTCTCTTAAACTGTACAGAATTCCTCCAGTAAGTTGGTCTCCTGCACTCTCTCATGATGGATACGCACCTTACTCCTAGAATAAGGGCTAGAGGGAGGCTCCCCCGGAGTTTCGTGTCCAGACAAGGCCAGCGCTCCACCAGGAGCCATCTGGACTTCCCTGGAAGGTGCCCTTTCCCCTGCTCACAGGTAGCTTCTCCTTGTTCTACGGCCCATTGGGAGTGATGCCCTCCCCACCTGCCCAAGTAGACAGCTTTTCRTGGCCAAGTCACAGTCCCTCTCTCACTGTGAGCCCAGCACAGCAGGGAGGGCGCAGCTGCAGAGATCTTGAACCACCGGGCGTTACAATTCCCAGTGGTTGCCAATTATATAGATAAATAGGAATTTACATAATTTGCAGTTTATGTTCATGGCTTATTTTGAAGCCACTCTCCAAAGATCCACATTTATGCATGAAAGCAAATACTCCTCCTAATAACCTGGAGCTGGGGCTGACTCCACARCCAGCTTCTTGCAAACCAAGCTGGAGAACTCTGCCGCTCTGGGCCTAGTGTCTAAAAGGGACATGACGTCCAGCCCATGGGCCAAGAATAAGCTCTGTGGAGCCCAGAGTTCAAAACCATCAGACATCAATTTCTCCTTTTCTTTCTCACGAACATCAGAGCTCCTTTCTTTCTTCCTTTCCTCCTTTTTTTCTTCCTTCCTTCCTTCCTTTCTTTCTTTCTTGATACATACTTTGATGGGTACCAAGCACGGCTAAAAATTTCTGTCTCAGTCCTACAGGCTTCAAACTACTGTGTACCTCTGGCCCAGGCTCACCCCAACTCCTCGCCTACTAATTCAGCCGGCAGCCTTCAGAGGTTGACATGCCCTGGCCACACCGGCCTTGCACATCTATTACAAGATGGACACATGTTTACACTTGCAAAGAGCCTGCCTGGCATCCACTTACTCTCCAAGAGGAGTCATGTCAAAAGCCAGTGAGTGACTTTCCAGCTTGCCATGCCTCTCCAAAAACAATTTCCTGCCTGAAACAAGAGCCGCAGGCGTCTGGGCCCAGGCACATCTGGGATCATTTTACCCATTAGGGAAACTGGGGTCACTTGGATTGGGGCATTCTTGGAGTAAGGGTGTGTTGTCAACTGGGGACTCTTTGGGTGGGTTTTCTGTCCCAGACAAATTCACCCCTTGTCCCTAAAGAGGTGGAAATGTTAACTGTGGAGGGCAACGGCTCCTTGCAGGATGATATAGTGAGCAGGCAGGGAAGGCGGGGAGGAAGTCCACGCGGAGAGCAAGCATCCGTGGCGGCCACCTAAGGGCTCCATGTTGTGTCTGTCCTGGACTTCAACCTATCGTGAGCAAAGGGGGAAAAAGAAAACAGAGGTGTATTACTAAAGAATAAGGGCTTTCTCAAGCTGGAAAAGGTAACTTCCTCCTACTCTGAGAATGGATATAAACGTCACCAACTCAAATCTTGCAAGAATACAGGACTTTGGCTTGGTAACTGCCTTTCTTCCAAGGAAAGCTTCTTACAGGGCTCTCTTATTGGCTGTCTGTAGGGCCTTTGCACTTCCTGTTCCCTCTGCCCAAAATATAGCTCCCTCACTCAACCCTGTGGCTCACCCCTCACTTCCTTCTGTTCCCAAGTCACCTGGTCGGTGATCATGTGCCTGTCCACCAACCACAACTTGCAGCTGCCCCAACACCTCCTATCCCTGCTGACTCTCCAACCCCTTCTCTCACCCACACTCCCTGATACATCTGAGTTTCTTAAAGAAGTCCCTCTCCGTGGTCCCCTTTCTCTGTCCCCCACATCTAGAACAGTGCCCATCCTGCAGCAGGTGCTCAACAAGCCTTTGCAGAATGAAGGCATGAGTGAATGAATACACGGTTTCACAGGTGGGTGATTTTAATCACACTCATCCTCACAGAGAGAAGTTTTGGTTTGGGGTCGGTGGGGGGGGAGAGACAGGATAAAGAACAAAGAGGCCAAGTGGGAGCCTGCTGGGGTCTGACTCACTCTTCTGGGACTCCCCGCCACCTCCGCCCCCCTCCTCCCTCACCATTTTTATTATGGATGCTGACAGATCCCTCTCCGGGCCCCTGGAAGTGATCTGCCACCAATTTAGAGAGTCTCCTGTATCCTGAGCATGGCTTGACTTCCCTTGATCAGTCCCCGTAGGCACCGAAGCCACCTCCAGGCTATCATTATGAACATAAATTACCATCCATTGCAGATGTGCAGGCAAGTCATTAATAATGATTTCTGATTGATAGAATGACAAATAAACCCGGTCTGGCTGCAGGAAACCCTCAGGATTTCTCATACAAAAAAGACAAGCAAGCTAAAAAATAATAATAAAATGAACTAGGGAATTTGGAGCTGCTGCCAAACCGAACTTTACTTTTGTCCAGGATTAGCTGCTGCAAAGGAGACGTGCTTTTTGGAGGTGGGGTGGGGGGAGTCGTGCTGCTACAAAAACAGAGGGAGACACTGTCCTGAGCAGGCCAGCCTGCAGGATCCCTGAGGATCTGCTGACTTTCTCAGGCCCAGTGAAACCCACACCGGACATCACTGCCCTGGAGCTGAGAGGGATGCAGAGGCTGGCTCTTAAGACTACAGGCGGCCAAGGTCCTGAAGGACAATGACTGTCCACAGCTTCAGACTGGCCGCCCCCAGAGGTCACCAACGGAAAATCACTGTTGTCTCTTGTGGAGAGTGATGCCACAGAATGGAATTAGAGCAATGCCACAGAATGGAAGAGCAGTGTCTGAGACTGGGATCTTTGATGACTTCCTGGCTCTGACATACTTGGTGCCTGGGAAAGTTTCTATGCAAAGGTACAGGATGCCTAGCTGCTATGGTAATGTCCTCCATGAGGAGGCACTGTGCTAGAGTCTTATCAGCCTTGACCTTGATCTCAGACACTCAGCTCCTGGGAATAAAGGAACTTTCTTGCTAGATAACCACAATGTTTCACCAGCTCTGCTGCTTCTGAACCTACCCGCATAACAGTAACAATGGACTTTCTTGAGAGCTACACAAAGCTCCTAACATTGCACATTGCAAATGTAGAATAAGTGCATAATGTTGTTAACTCTGTAACTTTCATGAATACAAAGAATAATGCTTGCAGAGTCTTTAATTTGATTAATGAGACATAGATAAATAAAGGTTGCTGGTGTAATTCTTTAGACCTGCTTCTCCATCAGAGAGCAGCACTCCACCTGACCCCAGCTTTATCTTCAAATCTGAGTCCATGAATCTTATCTTTCTTATCGTCCTTCACCCTTCTCTGGAACCTGCTAGATTGGCTGCACTGTTTGTAGCAGTCTGTGGATAGAGCCCTCACCCCAAGTTCTGGGGTCCCACTGGCCATCCCCCAACACACCCTCTCCTCCATGAAGGGCCACACCCCCATCTTCACCTTTGACGCAGGCCTCCGCGGGCCCCTCTGGCCCTCCCTTTCTCTTCTTCGTCTGGGTTTTCTGCTGTCCTGGAATTTCTGTGGGGAGAAGGCTAGTTTGAATGAATCAACCTGCATTTCCAAGTGACTGGTTTCTTGGTGTCAAATGATGACCTCCTCTTCCTGCCAACAAGACCTTAGCATGTGCCCCAAGGAGCATATCTCCAGCATGGTTTCTGGAGGCTGAGAGCTTCACGGGCTGATGCCTAACCAAGTACAGCATCCACTCAGCCCTGCTATTCATCGGATGTTCAAAAACTCAGAAAAGGGAAGGAAATGGAGTCAACATCAAGCTTTCTGAAGAGCAGATCCTGGGACCCGACTGCTTGGTCCCTGCCCTGCCCTGTTCAGGCTGCTTTTACATAAGTCACAACACCCCTCACTAGTTATGGGCAGGGTTGTTGAAGGGCTGCTATGTGTGGCTGGGTTGAGTCTTGGCCCAAAGTGAAGAGAAACAGTAGTAAAGACTGTTAACAGGAGCAATTGTTTCATGAATACCTGGGTAGAGTCTGGGGTCTGCTCACTGACTCCATTAGAATGAATGCACGAGCTTCTCTAAGAGGATGGAGCAGAGCATAGGGTCTCGAATTCAAGGGCCTCCAGACAACAAACACGTAACCCAGGCAAATGAATCCTTCACACCCCTTGGAAAGTGGAGCAGTGAGACCTGAGGCCACCATGCATGCTGTTTGCAAGGAAGCTAAAACTATACAGGGCCAGGCAGTCAATTCGTCCACCTTTTATGTTGAAAAATTATTCTGATTTGTCTAAAGTGCTGCTCAGGCCAGAAGACAGACAACTGAGCCCTGGCCTGAGGGCCTGGTTCTCCAGGTCACTGAGTGCTGAGGAAGCCACACCACCTGCCCTTTGGAAGCTGAGTGCCCACAGCCTCTGGACTCAGTCTCTTCTTTCCCTGGTCCCAGGACCACAGCAGCCAGGGCTGAATCAACCTACCTTCAGGAAGCCCCTGGCTTGGCCTCATCCCTCAGTGACCTGCACCTGGGAATGAGCGCTACTTGAGGGAGTCATACCTGCTGATGTCCAGGGTTTGTGTGCAGAAGCGTAGGCAGGCCTTGTCATCTATCCCCACACAAGCACAGCGCGAATGTATCCCCAGTGAGGGCTGTACACTCCCTGGGGACAATCCCAAGGATCTCTTGCCCCGGAAGCTTCCTCTGTAGTTGGACAGTCCATAGGGCACAGTTCGTCTGCAAAGCACAGAAGAGGGTCAGGAGAGTGTGCCAGGGGTCCCTGGTGTGGGGCATGAGCTGTGGCCTACTGGTGGGAAACTTCTGGGCTGTCCCAACCCCCAGGAAGAAGGGCCAAGGGGACAGAAAGTCWAGAGGACCAGGGAAGGCCAATGGTCTCAGCAGCCCAGCCCCTGGAGGGCTCGGGCACATGGGAGAGCAGGAGGCCTCATGGAAGGGTTTCAGTCCTTTCCAGACCAAACATGCAGGTGTTCTGCTCCCCACCTCTGGAAGCTTCGCCTGGAAGACTGAGAAGTGATTAAGACGCTGGAGCTCCCTGCCTGCAGGTTCTTCTTCTGTACCTGACTTTGGGGTTGAGCCACGTGTTGGTCCCCATCTGCGCCCTTCACCTGCTGCTGGGCTTGGGCACCAGCCAATGTAAGATCTCCATGCCTGTAATGCCCTGGTGGCTGCCCAGGGCCACCCCTGGTGGCTGAGCTACTGAAAACTTCTCCTGTGTGCACAGCAGGCCACAAAGGAACAAGAACAGCCTGGCCTCTGAACACTCGTCCTCAGAGAGACAAACATCAGAAGGGCTGCTCCCTGCCTTCTAGAGGCACTGCCGTGGCCTTGACAGGGCGGCTGAGGGTGAAACTGGCCTTGGCAGAGTCTTACTGTGAAGCAAAGACGTCTGGAATTGTCAACCACTTCTGTCCAGGGTCAGCTTTATGAGGGGGGTGGCGTTCAGAGCCACAAAGATTTAAATCTGGTTCTGGAGTTCAGTGTACCCAAACCGTCACCCCTAGAGAAGAAAGAAGCCTTCCAGCTGAGCGGGGGGAAGTTCAGACATGTGCGCAATTCATCAGCACCATGGGCCACAGTCAGAGGCAAGCTACCAGGGACTCAAAGAAACAAATGTGGCCAAAGCCTCTTTTCCAAGAAGTCTTGGTTTTCCTGCCTGTCCCCAAAGGGCAGCCACCTTGGTTTCTATGAGCCCAGTGACACATCCCCATGTGTCCACCTCAAAGGGTGACCTGACATCCTCCCTGCATATTCAGAGTGAAACCTAATTGGATTACTTTTTATTAAAAACGCAGGCCATGGAGCCTTTTTAGGGTGGGAGGCCAAACAGCAAGGCTGCCCCACTGTGACCAGATGCTCAGAGCAGGCTGGAGACCAGGGCTGAGGCTTCCGCCAGCCCTATTCTTTTTCTGTTCTCACCCCAACTCCTTCCCACCCAAGTGCCTTGAGAAATAGCAGAGCAGCGGCTCCCTGCTGACCCAGGCCGCCCAGCTGTTGAGCAGAGGAGGAGGGCAGGGTCCAGCAGCGCTGAACCTTCTCTCAAATCCTGTTCTTCTCAGAAATGTAAAAAGTGGAGAGGGGAGGAAAACAACAACGTGGCCATTGTCATGAGTCCAGATCTGGTTGAAGGTATGTTTTTCCAGTAACAGGACCACATTAAATCTCTAAGTGTTGACATTAAATCCAACCCCCCATTTCTTGGTGAAAACGGCACACGAGGAATAACAACGCTCCCATTTTCCCATCAACAGCGAGACCTGCAATTTTGAAATTGCTGTCAGCTGATTATGCATTGGCGGCTGCAGAACACTCTGAAGTGTTTTAAGGAAGGAAACAAAGCAACGCCGTGTTTGTTAATAGAGATGTGCTTAGCACTCCCCAGCAGCCTAGGCCAAGCTCTACTGAGCAAACACCCTGGCAATTTCAAAGAACGTTTACAGGGAAGCACCACCCCCCCTCCCCACGATCTGGGAGGCTCTTAGGAGATGGCCAGATCTCCGTGGGGCCCACCCGAGCAAACACTTGAAGTTTAGAACATGAGTTCAAAATGGAGGCCCATCTCCCATCCATCCACAGATAAGCTCTTAAATGAGAGTTCTATCCCCTGACCTGGACAAATGTGGCTGTAAAACACCTTGGAAGTCCAGCCTTGATTTAAAATTTGGATCCCATGCTAAAATACAGCAGCCCAAGGAGATCTGGCAGCTTTTCTTTCCTCCTACTCCACTCCAAACCAAGAGAGCCCCACCCACTCCCACACAGACACCCCAGGCTGTACCCCAAGCTCTGTCCATGCTCTACCCTGTAGGCAGCTGCTACTTGACCACCCACATGGGTATAGGAATGTGGACCTGAGCCCTGTTCTGTCCTGTCAGAACCTAGAAAATACCTGCACAGGCCCCAGAAATGGGCTTGGGGACATGGTCTGGAAGAAGGGGTATATGGCTTTCAGTCCCACAGATTCTCTGCAATGAGATGGGGGATGTGTGACCAAAGGAAGATCCCAGGTGGCCCTCTAACTCTGAGAGCCAGGTCAGGGATGTTCCTTAACCAGGTCTAAGAGTTGCTTACCAGTTCCTCCAGAAGACAAGGCAGGTTTTTTACTTCTTTTATGCCAGCCAGGGACCTACCACAAGGTTGGGCAAATAAAAACTATTGAATGAGCAACTGGTAGCCAATTGTGGCACAACTCTAGTCTGGGCAAGACTGGATTCTTTCCACCTGAATGAGTTCAGTAACCATGAACATCATTACAAAGTATCTCCACCATCTGTTAAGTAACAACTGCACACATAGTGTTATTTTCAGTGTGAAAGGCACACTTGTGTCTGTGTCTCCAGGAATTCACATGCTACTGGRGTATGAAAACAGAAGAAAAATATCAAGCCAGTATGTACAGGTACATGCAAGGTACACAGAGTGCAGAGAGATTACCTGGTAATTCCATTATTAAGTTGTAAAGCACTTAGGTGATGATCACTCCACCCTCTCAACAGTTCCCTGATTCACAAAAGGATTATTGGACAAATGAAATGAGATACTACATGAAAAATACTTAGTAAAGCCAACACGTGGCTCAACCCCAAGGTCAGGCACAGAAGTTAGGGATTATTGTTATTTATTTGGCCTGGGAAATCACAAGTTTCATCAAGCAGGAAAATTCCAYCTACCAGGCCTGTGTTTGAGATGTGTGACTAAGTAATAAAGAAGGATAGTAAGGAACCAAAGGCCATAAGGCACAGCAAGGTCATTCTCTGCCACACCTCCTTCTGGCAGTTCCATCACTCACCACTGCCTGTCTAATGCACTCGCCTTTCAGGTAGAGAGCTGCCATTTGTCACCATTTCCTGAACAGGGAACAGGGAAGACCTAATGGTGGAACTATGAAGATGAAGGTAAACTGGCTGAGATCTTGGGACCAGCATCTTTACCCAGCTAATTTAGCCTGCTGTTTGCAACGAGGTTTAGAATACAATTCTTTAAAGAGATAGGCAGCTCTTCTATCCATTAATGCTTCCGGTATAACACAGAGCTCCATAAAAAAGGTAAGCAGATGACATAATGAAAACACTACCGGCCCTCAGTGCACCCATGCATTCAATGTCTAGTGCCCTGTGTATTTGTGCAACACTATCCCTCCGCTTATGTGCTTGGAACATTCATTATTTGATTAGTGGTGGTTTCAGAGTGATTAATCACAGTGCTCCTCACTTGCCAAGTTTCCCCAAACATCACATACAAATGCTATTAAACTCCCATATTCATCTTTCATCTGTAGCACAGGGAAAGCACTTTGTCTCTCCAAGAAGTTTTTAAATAAGCAAACTGACTTTTTTCAAAAACATTTTCTGTTCGTAAGCTCTGTGTTGTTCTTTCCTAAAGGACTTATCGATCTCCATCTCTCTGATCAGGACACTGGCTGCTGTGCGTGGAGTTCTCAGAACAGACACAGGTGTTCACAAAGGCCAGGTAGGAAGTAGCAAGGGGGTTTCATCTGCCAAAGTTTAAATTCTTAACAAAGTGTATCCAACTGTCATTCCTCTCAGAGAAGCCAGTTTCCATTTCTTTCCACTGTCATTAAATGGAATTTAACAAATATCTGCTGAAAGTTTCAGCRTGCTCACTGGAGTAGTCCTGGTGAACATCACCATGAACCAGACAGACCAGGGTCCTGTGCACACACAGCTCTGTCCCGTACACAGCCTAGCAAGCTAGCATTTTCTCAGCTTCAGCCAACCATTTTCTAACTTATCTTGAATAACTGGAAGCCATGCTGAACCCAGCTCCAGATCCCAACACATCAGCAATCGCCTGGAGCCCCCTGACGCAAGACCCCATTCTGTCCCTGTCCCTACCTCTCCTGATGGATTGATTACTCCAGTCCTCCCCTACTCATTTTGTCACGTGTCTAGTCCTCATGGGCATCTCGGTTAACAACCACATAAGCAAGTCAGACAGGTGACAGGATCTGTTGACAAGATTGCTACTCCTCTCTTTATAAATGCAGTTATTGCAGTTTTAATTTAAAAAGCCCAAGTTCTGGCTAACTGTCTCTACAGCAGGTGGGGCACGTTCACCTCACACTCAGATGCGGGTCAGGTTGATGATCTGCCTCTTCTGATGCACATTTTTCCTTATTAAGTGGAAAATCAAGGTGATAAGGAGCCACTGTGTGCAGAATGCAGGTTCCACTGACTGGCCAGGGGCAGAGAGTCACGAAGAAACTCCAGCTGCCARGCACCAAGGTCACTGGACACCAGCTCCCACCACCCCCTGGAGAAGCAACTCAGAGATCCTAATATGCTTTCTAACATTGCCTGAATGCAGATTTCATCAATGTTCTTCCTTAGAAGACACCACTCACCAACTTCCCCAAGTTCAGTCCTTCTGGGCCAGGAGGACTGTGTCTGTCACCTTCATTCACCACCTCTGAAACATAACCAGTCAGTGCCAGTGGATGCTTAATTACAGCCCTGTGATCCCTGTGCCCACCTGAGTGCCTGGGGGTCAGAAAATKCTCAGGAGCTAAAGACCCCGCTCTTAAAGACTTACAGTAGGGCTTCTCTACAGCTGAGGCCAATGTTGGTTATTTTTGTCTCTTAGAATCCAGCCTCCCATTCTTCTTGTGGGAAGAAGACCCCATTGTGTGAGGTCCCTGAGACTGACCACCATCTTGCCTCATCCCCTCACKAATACCACCTGAGGACTGGTCAGGTGAC